CACTCGAAGAATTTCGCAGTTTCACAGAAGTTTACAGGTCTTACCAAAGCGAGTCTTGTTAATTAACATGAGCCGACAAAATGGACTAACTAAAGTGCAGAATGCCCACTCCGAGCCGAACCACCTCAGAAATTCTGAAGGAATACGCCGCAAACTTCGCTTCCTTAAAAATTGTGGAAATTACTGACTGGCATAAGCTGTTTCCACTTGGCTCGCTCAAATTCCTGGAATTCCGCTAGTATTCCGCCATTTTTTCCCCGATAGTGTTTGTACAGGTGCGATAATGTAGGAAGGTGAGCATTGTGGTGTAATACGATTTTTTCCTGGCCTAATGCTTGACCGTCTCGAACCTCATCTACATAGTAGCGACAAGTGGAAGAGGTTGTAAACGTGTTTCTCTATGACTAATACAACTTCAAGAAAAACTCCATCATTACCGCATTGTCACGCCTGACGTGCGCCACCGGTTCCGCGCTACATTTTTCCGATCTTCATATGTATTTTCGCCAAATGCCCCGTTCCTGCTTTCGTGGACTTTATATATACTTAACCCTTCTCACCTCTCAGTCATATGCAGTCAGTCTGTCAGCCGGTCTCACCTCGTTCGCTCCCGTTCCGGGCCATTTCATCAGCATCCCAGCACCTCGACTAACTCTGCTCCTTCCAGGTACACCGCCAACATGCAGACTGTCACGTTGATCGTTCTTGTCGCCGTACTCGTCCAGGTAAGAGGACAATTTTAACCAGTACTTAAAGCCTAGTTCTCAAATGGGGGCTTACTTGGGATCCTGGGGGAAGCTCTCGTATCGGGCCTGATGATTTGTGGATTTCCTGATGCCATCTGCAAAAATAGTGCCCGGAAAAGAGATGACGGCTCTTTCTCTCCCACCGAGCTCCCGGCGAGGGCTTTGTCTGAGGACATCGGATAAAAAAGGTAAATTTGAATTTTAGGCCGAACAGAGCGCCTTTGACACCGAGGCATGTCTTTCGAAGAGAATACCAGACGAAGGAGGTCATATATGGTTGCTGGAGGGGAGAGTCGTGGTTGTTCTGGCAAAAATAATTCCTCCGTGGATTTTTGACTTTTCCAGCTGCTCTAGTTAGCGATGCTGCCAGTGTTTCTTCAAATAGTTAGGCGCATGAGTTCGCCCTTGTTCTGCCCTCCGCTCCACCCTCCATCCGACGGCGAAATGTTTGGAAGTTGGTGGGTACGTACGTATGTAGGTAGGTAGGTAGGTAGGTAGGTAGGTAGGTAGGTAGGTAGGTAGGTAGGTAGGTAGGCAGGCAAATAATGATTGGGATCGTACTGTGAGAGGAAACTGGAAAATGGGATCGTAGTCTAGGAAAACTCCTTGGACCAGGACTGCCCTGTGGAAGGGGCAGGGGTGGGCGAGTAAGTGTTAAAGGATCAGTTTTCCCTACCTGTATGAGGTGTCCCGACTTTGGATACTTCCCTAAACCCGCCGGCCCAGTCCTATTAGTTAGTTACGTAACGCACGACATCGTTCACGGTAATTAGTAGGCGCATCCACTTTCCTATTGACCCCGATTCGGGTCTGCACGGAAACGCATACGGATTTGTTTCTGTACTGGCAGAGTAAGTGCCAGGAATCCCCTGTTTAGCCGAGAAGCGGAAACTCGTGGAATTTTGGGAGTGAATGCCCGATTATTCCCTCTCGAGCAGGGAGATAGGCCTAGAAACGAGCGCACTACGAGCTCTTCTCGTCCCTATTGCATTTTTGATCTGCACCTGCCATTTCTCCCCCTAGACCGCCAGAATCTTCAAGAAGCGCAGCGCTCCAACATGGCCCAGAGCACTTCAAAAGTCCGTGATCCGTCTGTGGTTGGTAGGCAGCTTTCCAGATAGGGACGCGTCCTGATGTAGGCAGGTTCTGCAAATACGGCTCCACCCCTCGTTGGGAAACCCCAGCGTACATAGTACCTTGCTCGTTCTTGGTGTAACCCAGGGTTTCCAGATAAGCACAGCGTGGGTTAACCTCTCGGTGACCAGCGTGATGTTTCGAGCTATAAGCTAACTGTCCCCCCGTAACCGTCTCCCAGCGATTCAAATGCGATTTCGTTGAGGATACTTCACCGATGTTCTGCCCTGCGGTCGACGCAATCAAGCCTGGGCGCAGTACTGTTGTAGTATTATTTGCCGCAAAGATAGCACAATACCGAGTATGCCTGGTCGGGTATCGAGGGAGAGCGTTGCAAAATTAACCCTCCCTAACCTTGGGGTTAGCTCAAGTTCCCATCCAGTTCAACGAGAGTAAGGTAGATTACTGATTTAACCCCCAAAGTTAGCGAGTGTCGACGGTTTTCTCGAGCAATCCGGAGAGCAAATCTAGCTTTACCCTAGGTACTGTATCACAAGGCCTAAAACATGGGGTGGAGGCGACAAAGGTCTTCTAAGTCCCATAGCGACTAATCCTGCCCTGTTTTCGCCGTAGTTGGCAATAATGAGAGCGGCTGAAGTCTCGCCACTGCCTGACGATCGCGACCCGGTTGTACAGTAGCTAACACCCGGATTACAGTATGGCCGTCACTGCAAGGGAGCCTCTTCTTTGTCCAGACAGGACCTCTGCTCTAAGCAAACCCGAGAAATACCCTCTAAGGACTGTTACTGACGTACTGTTCCCTCCCATTCACTCTGCGATCGATTATTCACCAAGTAAAAAACCCCTTTCACTGATTCGATTAGTCCAAAGATAGATGGCTCTTGTGGAAGTTGCTCGTGTCAGGGTCGGTCAGTTAGGAAGAGTTGCGGACTTTACAAACCAGAAGTTCACTTTTGTAGGAAAAGGAGAGAGAATTTTGCAGGAGACCGAGGCAGAAGGTCATCAG